CCGGGTGGGGCGTGGACAGGGCGGGCCGGGCGCGGTAAGGCCTGCGTTCTCTCCGTGGGCAGAGCAGGTCGGCGCCCGCTGATCTTAAAATAATAGCGCAGGGCTCCCGTTTGGATTCGAATAGCAGCCTGGAGTGCACAGCTCGGTCTTCCCAGGGTCCGGATGAAATCTCCCTTGTTGCTGCGCACCTGCTGGGACAGCCTCTTCCTTTCCTCGTCACACTGTACAGCCAAGTCACATCTGACACCCATCATACATTACCTTGCTTTTCTTCATTGTGATTGTCTTATCTTTCTTATTTCCTTTCTGGACAGGGAACTTCCTGATCTACACCTATACCTCTTGAAATTTAGATCACCCGTTAAAGTGGTCTGCATATTGCATATGTTTAGTAAACGTATCTGGTTTGGAAATATAGCCCCAGGTTCTATCCCTCCCCTCCCCTTCTAGGTTAGGGCACTACGGGTTGACTTGTGGCCAGACACCTGTCCCCTTACTGACCCCCTCCCCACTTCTTTGGGTAAGAAATAGTTGAGATGGCCCTAGCGGGTTTGGCTCAGTAGATAGAGCCTGCGCACTGTAGGGTCCTGGGTACCGTTCTGGTCCAGGGCACATGTCCAGGTTGCGGGCTCAACCCCCAGTAGGGGCGTGTAGGAGAGAGCCGATCAATGATCCTCTCTCATCACTGATGTTTCTCTCTCTCTCTCTCCCTCTCCCTTCCTCTCTGAAATCAATAAAAATGTATTTTTTAAAAAATAGTTGAGACAAACGAAAACTAGTCTCAGCCAGAATTAGCAGTCACGTTGACCTACATCTTAGTTTTGGGGCCTAATTTTGAGGCAACTCTGCCCTCCAGAAGCCCGCCATCCAGAGAGGAGGAACTGAGATGAGTTGCACAACGAACACCCTGACCCCCACCCCCAGCGGCAGAGATCACTAGCCACCTCCATTCCCTGCCCTTGCTATGGTAGAAACCTCCACCCAGACTCTATGGGTGCGACTCACTTCCTGAGTTGGCCCACACTCTACTCCTTCTTGAGAGTGTACTGTCACCTTAATAAATCTTATATGCTTTGTTTACTCTCTGTGTCTCGCTCTTGAATTTTTTCCTGCCCAGTGACAAGACCCTGGACACTGTCCCTGGGGTGAGGCCTCCCTTGGCCTCCCTGTGAGCCCTCCGGCATCAGAATGGTATTGCAAACATTAATGCTAGTTATGGATAAGCTCTACAATTCTTGTAATCTTTCCAGGTTCTTCAGCATGGGTCAGGTTTGGCCTTATGAATAGAGCCTTGGATTAAGAGTCGAAAGATATTAGAGATAAACCAAAACATAACAACAACAAAACTCCAATTCATTTCTTATGAAATAAAAATTATTTCCATGTAGAGAATTTGGTTAAGGAGATTACTAAATGTTTACATTGTGTACAGAAACCATATTTTTATATAATTACCATTTGTTAAAAGAGAACACGGATTACATTAAAGTCTACACTCTATTTCACACTTGATTTTTTTTCCACCTGACAGTATATCTTGGACATATTTTCACAGTAGCCTCATTCTTTTATCAGTGAATGGATGTATCACTTTTTTTTCCTCTCCAATTATTCCCTTATTAATGTACATTTTTCCTTGCCTACTTGTGGAAATGTTTTCTGTAGACTATTAACAGTGGAAATGCTGAGCCAACAGATTGATTTCAATTTTAATTTTTGATAGAAACTCTTTTGAAAAAAGTTGTATGAAAGGCAAAACATTTCCTAATTCTTCACTTGATTAAAAAAAATATCTAGGGGCTTGAAGTGGATTTAAAAGAAATGAGAAAAATCTCAACTCTTTTTAATCCTTCCTTCCCACTTGTCTTATGCCCCCCCCCTGCCAAAAAAAGGAGCAAAGAAAGAGAAAAGAAAATAAGTTGTTTGAAAATTAATCGTTCATATCAACTTAGCATTAGTACTCTCCCAGAAAGTTAAATGATTTCTTTCCCTTTCATCCCACTGTAAGCCTTGCTAACTCTCTCTGAAGGAAGAACTTTGACACTCGTCTGAGGAGCAATCTCTTTTGACAAGATCTTTATGCTCTAAGACAGGGGTGGGCAAACTTTTTGACTCGAGGGCCACAACGGGTTCTTAAACTGGACCGGAGGGCCGGAACAAAAGCATGGATGAAGTGTTTGTGTGAACTAATATAAATTCAAAGTAAACATCATTACATAAAAGGGTATGGTCTTTTTTTCTTTTAGTTTTATTCATTTCAAATGGGCCGGAGTTTGCCCACGGCTGCTCTAAGAACTCTTAAATAAACCAAGTTTGGCACTGTGAAAGGACACATTCACCTTTTCAGAAAAAAAATCTTACAGAAACATATTTCTCAAATAATTAGTCATAAACATTAGGAAAAAGCTGTTTAGTAACGTGTGCTCTTGCCAAAGCATAAATCATTAAATGTGATTCATGGAGACATGCACATTGTTTTCATGTCTGTGTCCATACAACTGGTAGTTTATAATGCATATTCAAGACAGCTTGGGGATGCCATGGAGAGTACATGAATCTGCAATATATAATGACATCTTGGTTCAAAGTTAATCCACCAAATAGATTACATAGAGACTATGGTTAAGATCCAAATGATTTGGAAAAAAATAATCGTAAGTGATGTTATTGGCATAGAAATCTGAAGTGGTTTTAATAATTATTAAATTATTGAAAATGGAACAATTGAAAAGTACAAGTTTAATGAAATTAACATGGGAAGGCATTTATAAAGATATGGGTGCTTGGACACTAATAATTCCATTTAGACATTAATTTTTAAATTCCTACTGTGAATAAATTCACAGTTAAGTATAGCTTTCTTAATATAGTTCCAAGTATGCTTGGAACCCAAGTTAAGAATAAATTTAAAACAAGATAATAAGAAACTTTATGTGATAGGCTGAATAATGCCCCCTCCCCCGGCCCCCTGCAAGGTGTTCTAATTCCTGAAACCTGTGAGTATGTTACCTTACATGGCAAAAGGACTTTGCAGATGTGACTAAATTAAGAATCTGAAGATGGGAGGTTATCTTGGATTATCTGAGTGGTCCCAGTGTAAGGACAAAGGTCCTTATGAAAGGCTCTATCAGTGGATAGAGCATTTGCCTGCTGACTGAAGGGTCCCGGGTTCAATTCCGGTCAAGATCACGGATTTTGGTTGCAGACTCCAGACCCTGGTCAGGGTGTCTGCCAGAGGCAACCAATCAATCTGAGACACATTGATGTTTCTATCTTTTCCTCTCCCCTCCACTCCCTCTAAAAATCAATGGAAAAAATATCCTGTGGTGAGGATTAAAAAAAATAAAAAACAAGAAAAAAAGGGAGGCAAGAGGATCAGAGGAAAAGAAGGGATGTACAACAGAAGCAGGTCACACTTAGAGAGAAATTTGAAGATGCTAAACTGCTGGCTTTGAAGATGGGGAAGGGGACCATTAGCCAAGGAATGCGGGCAGCCTCTACAAGCATGTCAAACTCAAAGGCTATAACACAGGCCAGATAAACAAGATTTCGGTTTATGTGGGCTGCAAAAAAAACAAAAGCTTCAATTTTCATAGAAACGTAGGTTTATTTCGATAGAGACAGCTGAATACAAAGGGCTGAAATAAATGAGTAATCATTAACATAAAATAATAGAACACTTTGATAAAAATTAATATTTTTTCTTGAACATTAACTTACCAGACACTGAATTACTACACAAATTAATAAGCGTAATGCAAATAAACCTATTCTTCTTCTTCGAAAGCAAAAATTTCCTGTTGCGCACACCAAACAAGTCAGTCCAAAACTCATAAAGATGTAGCAATCGGCTGCTAAAATATTCACTGCTAGTATTAGTGTAGAGAAATGGTGCACCTGCATGTAAGGCGCAAAAGGGAAATGAATGCAACATGATTATAGTAATCTGTCATTAGCGAACATTGTAGTTCATTATTAATAATTATGTATAACAGGATATTGTGAAAATTAAGTTACAAAATTTTTATTAAAACATTCTTACAGCCCTAACCGGTTTGGCTCAGTGAATAGAGCATTGGCCTGAGGACTGAAGGGTCCCAGGTTCCATTCAGGTCAAGGGCATGTACCTTGGTTGCGGGTGTATCCCCAGTAGGGGGTGTGCA